CATCGGCTAAAGTGTTTCAATACATTTTTTAATACTAACTATTTTCAAATACATTAAAACGTAACAATTGATAGTTTAGAATACTTTTTAACATAACAGTTACGTTAAGTGTACAAAATGTGCTCCATTTGTGAGTTGACAGTTGACACATCGATAATTCATTGCCTTAGCTATGGAAGACTTGCTGGTTAAGTTTTGTAAACTGAATTTTTCAAGTATCTCTAATAAAAATAATCTTTAGGATTGAGATCGGGTGAACGTGGAGGCCATTCAATTCTAACTTGTCTACTAATTTATCATCCGGGAAATATCTCATCTAAATAACGCCGAACATTTACACCAACTATCTGACGTTAAATTTCTTGTGATAAAAAATGGCCCAGTTAAATAAGTACCTACACTAACTGACCATACATTTAATTATTGTGGTCTTTGAGTATGGTTTTCACGCATTTAGTGTGAATTTCACACGAGTTCAGCTATTCAATACGAGTTCAACCATATGTTCACTTGATTTTATGTAGTCTGAAAGATCTTAAATACACAAAACAGTGCAAAATATGTAGATTTTGATAAATTTAAATATTTAAATGGAAAATGCTGGGATTTTGACATTTGTTCACCATTTAAATTATGAACTAAAATGGACAGTAGTTGTGGTTCAAAAAGTTCTGCAATTTAAATTGCTTCTCTAAAATTCCGTTCTCTAAACCGTTCTCCTATTCATAAGTCAACGGTACCTTAAAACTGTAAGACGATTTGAGGAATCTGGAGAAGTAAAAGATAGATACCGATTAAGTTGACCGAAACGAGTTATCAATGACAACAAAACTTCAGATATAAGCAAAGTTTTGTTGAAGATCCACATACATCCCCAGCCAGGGTTGCACAAGTAAATGATATAGGTCATGCTTACGTTTATTGCGTAAAAATAAATTTAAAACATACAAAATTAACTTATTGCAAGAAGTAAGTGAAGATGACTTTGGTCGTAGATTAGAGTTTACTGAGGTAATGGTGGATAAAATTGAAAATTATTAAAATTTCGTTAACAGAATATGTTTTTCCGATGAAGCAACTTTTACACTGTGTGGAAGTGTAAATCGACACAATTTAAGGTACTGGTGTGACGTAAATTCATACTGAAGACTGAATGCGTGAAAACCATACTCAAAGACCACAAAAATTAAATGTATGGTCAGATACAGTATTTTTCAGATAAAAAAGCTTGCACGTCATTCAAGATTTACGACGTCAAAACCCCACAGCGTTGCCAAAACATCAGAATAGTGAATAAGTGAGGAATTTTTAAAATGTCAAATATTAAGGAATGCACGTCAATTGGATTTTTAAAATGGAAAATTTTCATAATTTCATAACTATAAAAGATCACATAAAAATGTATAATTTTAAATACATTTAAACCTCAAATACTGAGGAAATAAATAAATTAATAACTTTTATTATGTAATACTGCATCTAAATTAGGGTTAATTTACTGTGACATTAAAAGGACTTGGAGAACCTATGTGATAAAAAGGAAATAAAAAAGAAGGAATATTGTGAATTGAATATACAGAATTGAGAATATGTAAAATGGACAAAAAGCGTAACTGATTTATAAGATTTCAGAAATGTGTTGGATAACATTCAGGAGAACCTAATCAATTTGCATTATGAAATTAGCAAAACTATGCCTATGAAAAATGACTGTAAAATTTGAAAATATCCGAATAAATCTGGAAGGGATATTAAAGTCAATTAACGATTCTAACTCGATGCAATTAACCCATTTAAAGCCACCGTTCTATCTATTAATCGAGCTCGTTACAGATATGTCTTTAATTTAATAATATTGATAGTTATTAAAATATGGCGCGTGTTGTTTCGTGTAGCAAAAACCATTTTATTAAAAAAAATTAATAATTCTTTTATAAATCTGGAGTTTGGACATAATTTTGGAGGTTACCTGAAAGACTGTTTCCAAACATGACTGACAAAAGGTAAATATAATATATTGTTTAAATGGTTCAAAAAAGTTCTTTATAAATAAGGGTGGCCTTTTTCGCTATACTAAGTATGAATATTTTTTTAGATACCTACTGGACAAAACCTTTGATTTGAAGTGAGTTAATGGAAGAGATAGAAAATCTGTCAGATAATGATCTTCCTGATAACATAATTATTTTTCCGCCAAAAGATGGGAAAGAGATGTAGAAATATGTAACTTGCCAGCAAATCAACTACAAGTACAGGCAGAGATAATCATAAATGGTCCAAAAACCCATACCAAATGCGATATTAATAAAGATAAAGATGACATGCCTTTGCCACACTTTAAAAAACAAGTAGCTCCTACAGTAAAAATGTGAACAAACGCCGCAAAAATGATTGATGGACCAAGAGAGATATACATAGCAAGATTTTAAATTAGAGTACAAGAGAAGGTCCAAAAAACATCATTTCCCAAGATACTTTTTTCCTATTTTTTGATGATAAAGTTATTCAGATGCTTGTTGAATTTTCAAATATGTATGCCAATTTACATAACCATAAATGCGATATTATAAAAAACGAAATTAAGTGTTTTATTGGAATTTTATTATATAGTGGATATATGAGTGTTCTTAGGCCATATATTTACTGGGAGAAATCCCTGATTCTACTCACGACCTTGTATCTAATGTCATGTCTAGAAACCGTTTCAAATTTATACAGAATACTAATTGTTGTGACAATGTAAAATTGGATACACAGGACCAATTTTCAAAGGTTCAACCTCTGATTGATGTAATGAATCAAAAATTTCTCGATTTAGCACCAAAACTTGGATGAGTCAATGGTTTTGTATTATGGAAAACATAGAGCCAGTTCAGTTAATCTTGCAATGAAGAAACATAGTATCTTAGAGTTTTATTCAAACATTATCTCAACATACATTAAAGACCAAAGACCTGCATTTGAAGTTCAGCTGTTTTCTGATCCAGAATGAATGAGAATTTCACCATACATGCATGTATGATAATAAAAACATATTTTGAATTGAGTGCTGTAAAAATTTTTTTGGACAAAATAAAGCAAATGTTTACTGGAAATAACTATTGCATATTAAATAAAACACTAAATAGCTTTTTTAAAAATTCTTTATTTGTTAGAAATCTGGGAAATCAAAGGAGGGGAAGGTCTTATTGGTGCAATGGCAAAGGAAAAACCCCTCTAAACCTTGCCTAGGACCCAGTACATCCCAATTAAAAATATAACTTTAAATATAACTTTAATAAAATAGTTTATAAATAACATCATTACATGGTTTTCAAATTCAGACCTAATCTAAGTATGCATACACATAATTTTATATTAATACATTGCACAAAACAAAAATAAATGTGACCTACAAAAATTGTTATTCAAATTTAATAATCAGTTCCATTTTGGTTATACTTTCGTCCATGAAGTTTATTAAGTTTCACCTCTAAAGACTTTGGCTTTTTCCTAGATCACATTTGTCTTCTCTACCTTCCCTCTTACAAACTCATTAATTTCCTCCTGATGTATTGATTTGGTAATTGAAGTTTCTTCCAAATAGCTTGCAATATTATCTAAAACAGAGTTAGTATCCATGCACTCCTCACACATTCTCACCAAGTGCACATGCTTATACAAGGTATTCCTTACCACATTCTTACATTCATTTTCACATACTTGTCTTATACTTATATTCTATAATTTATTTGGACCTCTTAAGAACTTTATCTAAAATTGCCCATATACCTAAACATTATAATTAACCTTCACATTGTTTCTTATTGATTCTGCCATTTTGTGAGCTTTTGTTATGACCCTTTCTTAATAATTGTTTATGTTTGGTTGTTTAATGTCTAAACTCCTCTTTCACATTTTTATGTCTACTAGAATCCATTCCATTATATGCATTTATATATATATATATATATATATATATATATATATAATATATATATATATATATATATATATATATATATATATATATATATTTATATATTTCAATAATGTTAAACTAACTTACTTTCTTGTAAATAAGCCTGTAAAACTACAATAAATATTTAATACATTACACAAAACAAAAGTAAATGTGACCTACAAAAATTGTTATTCAAATTTAATAACCAGTTCCAATTTGGTTATACCTTTGTCATCTAATTCGTCCATGAAATTTATTAAGTTTTCCCTCTGAAGACTTTGTTTGGCTTTTTCCTGGATCACACTTGTCTTTTATACCCTTCTTCTTACAAACCCATTAATTTCCATTCCTTGATTTAATAATTAAAGTTTCTTCCAAATGGCTTGCAAGATTATCTAAAACAGAGTTAGTATCCATGCGCTCCTCATACATTCTTACCAAGTGCACATGCTTACACAAGGTATTCCTTACCACATTCTTACATTAATTTTAACATATTTGTATTATACTTATATTCTATATTTTATTTGGACCTCTAAAGAACTTCATCTAAAATTGCCTGTACACCTAAACATTCTTCTTAACCTTTTGTTTCTAATTGATTCTGCCATTTTGTGAGCTTTTGTAAACCTTTCTTAATAATTGTTCTTGTTCGGTTGTTTAATGTTTAAACTCCTTTTTCATATTTTTATGTCCTCTAGAATCCATTCCATTATATCCGTCTATTGTGTCCAATAACTTTCTATTTAACCTAGAAATGTATAATTTCTTCAAAATTTATAGTTTATAGATAATTCAAGATAAATGGTAAGAGGCTACAATATAAATTATCTTTTAAAGTAGATAAATAAGTATATATATATATATATATATATATATATATATATATATATATATATATATATATATATATATATATATATATATATGAACTTGACTGACTAAAAGTCAGTCAAAACTAAAAAAAAGTAAGATTAAGCAAGGAGTATCTATAATAAGAAAGAATAGTACCTAAGTTAAAAAAAGAAACCAATATTAGTTTATCCTCATCATAACTTCAGTCACTGTCATCAATATCATCACTGTCTTGGTTGTCAGTGTTAATTATAATGGGGTCTACCTCCAGTCTATCAAGTATTCTTTCTCTTTCATACCATTTTTTTATTTCCTTTTCACAATGTTGTATAGCATTCTTCCAGGTTTGAGAAGTAATTTTTTCGAGTGCTTCAGACCACATATTCAAACAATCTTGTTCTGTATTGCCATCTCTTCCAATGTGCCTATTGTAATATTGTTTGGAAATGCCCCAAATAAGTTCAATAGGGTTGAAAATACAATGATAGGGAGGAAGACGTAGTACTTTGTGTCCATATTGCTCAGCTAAATGGTCTATTATATACACATGAGGTGGCTTATTTCTAAAACATAATAATTCTCATTTATATGTGCAAAATTTAATATGAATGTTTAATTTTATATTTTATTAGCATGCATGTAAGACACTTACTGTTTAACTATTTCCAGAAGTTCACATTTGAACATTTTAACTGAAAAATTTATGTTTTTCTTAGTTAGCCATTCTTGTATTTGAGCTTTAGTCGAGCTTGAATTTGGCATTTTATGTAGCAACATGCTATGGTATGGAGCATTGTCCATAATAATTATCGAAGGTTGTTCCAAGTTCTTTAACAACTGCTCTTCAAACCAGTGTAGAAAGTTATCTTTATTCATTTCCCCATGGTAATCAGATATTTTGTTATTTGAGGAATATATCGCTTGTGCCCCATTAATAAATCCATCCTCACTACCAGCATTGATTATAATATATCTGTAAAAAAACTCAAAAGGTTTTATAAACTTAATAAACCCAATGCTGATAATAATAATACATATTTAAAGAATTGCCTAATGTGACTAACCTTTTACCATCTGTTTTTATGGTTCTGACACTTCTTTTGTCTTCATTTTGCCATGAACGACATATTGTTCCATTTTGGAAGATCCATGTTTCATCAATGAAAACAAACTTATACAAACATGCTTCCTTTTCTTCAATATAATTTCTTAAAAATAAGGTTCTCTTTACTGCTATATTAGGTAGTTCCATAAGTCCACGCCTTGGTGAATCTTTTTGCCACCTAAAACCTAATTGCTTTAATACCCTCCATAATGATGTAGTGGAACCATCAAACATCTGTTTCTTAACCAAGTTGTCTTTTAATGATTCTAAAGTTACATGTTTTTCTACAAAGATAGATTATAATTAATAAACATTTCTTAAATACAATTGTTCTGTCTATATTTGTTAATTTTTTAAAATTCTTACTTGTTTTGTACATGTCGTAAATAACATCACGGATACCACTAACATTCAACTCTTCTGTATTAGTTTTAGTCTTTTTGTGATACCGTTTTTTAGGAGGTGATTTTAAAACTTCATTATTTTTAACAGCTTGAGAAATGGTACTAACAGTAGATAAACTTAGTTTTAAGGCTGCTGCAACACGCTAAAATACATAATAAAACATTGTAATACAAAATTATATATTTTAAATTCTTTAAATTACCTCTCTTACAGCATTCAATGGTAAAAAAGGGCCACCATTAATTCGCTCTTGTTCAAAATAATCTATTAAACAAGCAACCAGTTCTCGACAACGACTATTAAGTTGTTTAGGCATTTTAGTACACACAAATATAATAATGCAAGCTATATTATATTAATTTATGTATTTATAAATACAATTTATTAAAGTTATATATTTTTTGCGTGCCAAATTGATCAAAACAGAGAAAGGTAAACATAAATAAACTTAGTATAAGGTTATAAATTAGTGACAACACTGCATTGTGACTGTCTCATGCTTGCCAACGCAGCTTCATATTATTGAAACATGAACTATTTCCGTATCAATGGCGTACGATTGTGTAATATATTTAATTAATATTATTTTTTTTTGGATAATTAAACTTAAAACAATTGTTGCATAAAATTTAAATTATTGATAATAAGAAATGTTTTTGTATATTTATTCAATATAATTCAAAAATTCTGAATGTAATCACGATTACATTTTTCTTATTAGAATATCATGTTGGCGCCTATGAAAGATCGACCAGTTCCGTATGGGTTTCGTATTATTAGCTGTGTTAGGAAAAATTGAATTTTAAGGTTGATGTTCTGGAAATTTTAAATACAAGTGACGTCACTTTATATAAATCGTGACGTGCAAGCTTTTTTATCTGAAAAATACTGTATAGTAGTTACTTATTCAATTGGGTCTTTTTTGTCGAAAGAAATTTAACGTCAGATAGTTGGTGTAAATGTTCTGCGATATTAAGATGAGATATTTCCTGGACGATAAATTGGTAGACAAGGTGGAATTTAATGGCCTACACGTTCACCAGATTTCAATCCTAAAGATTATTTTTATTAGGGATACTTGAAAAATTCAGTTTACAAAACTTAACCAGCAAATCTTGCAGCGCAAGGCAACGAATTATCAATGAATCTTGAATAATTTCTAGACAATCATGGAGAAGTGTGGTAGATGTCTTCTACCATCGATTAGGGTGCTGTCAACGCACAAATTGAGCACATTTTGAACACTTAATAACGTAACTACTATGTTAAAAAATGTTCTAAACTATCAATTGTTACGTTTTAATGTATTTGAAAATAGTTAATATTAAAAAATTTATTGAAACAATTTAGGCGTTGCCAGACTTCGGTTTTTATGTATTTATGACCTTCCAGATTACATAAAATCATAAGTGTTACATATGGTTGAACTCGTATTGAATAGGAGATTCCAATAATGACTGAATATACAGGGTAATGTATTTGAAAAACCAAAGTTACTAATAATATAAGAAAAACGGCAAATCTGGCAACATTGTAAATATCAAATATGGAATCTTCGTATCCCAAAATAGGTGTACCTCAAATTTTGTACAATTATGGTTAGCATTTTACGAGACAATTAAACGTTTATAGACTTTTGGGAGATGTAATGGGATAGTGAAGCGCAATAAATAGCCACTCCTATTCAAATGTCAACCTCACCTGCTCTTATGATAATCTAGATCATGGTCTTCTGGTACATCCTGCTAGATAACTAACGAGGCTCTGACGTCCGAGTGTTTGCCGGGATAAGCAATCAACCATTTACTGGCCAACGGCTTAGGGCGGATAAGCTAGTAAGTGGAAGGACACTCTGTTGTCCTGAGACTAAGAAATTGGTCTCGAAGGCGGAAGAACCAAGAAAGTGGTCAACGGCATCAGAATGCAGAAGGCAACGAAAAACCACTGCATTAAAGGTCCCTGATGACATCTCTAGTATAAATTATAATGGCTAGCACTATTTGCGCAAGAAACATGATTGATTATGGTAATCGGAGACCAAAATCCGGCAGGGGAGGACAACCATCAGAACGCAAGGCCTCCTCGGTCGTCAACATGCGAAACCCTTGCACAAAATACCACAAAAAAAATACTCAACCCTCTCAGATAAAAATAGCTACCTCGAATGTAAGAAGTATGTATTAGCCTGGAAAACTACACAATGTTATTAAAGAATAGGAGAGGCTAAATATAGATATACTTGGGGTTAGCGATGTACAGTGGTCAGGAAATGAAGAGATATCAATAAATAACCACAATATTTATTACACTGGAGGAGACAAAACTGATCATCGATACGGAGTAGCTTTTATCATAAGCAACACTATTAAAAAATCAGTGTTAGGTGTGATTCAAATCTCAGAAAGAATAATAATGCTAAAAATTCAAGCACGGAACTGTAATATTAATATGATCCAAGTTTACGCTCCCACTGCTGATAAGACCGAAGATGAGATCGAAAACTTTTATTTAGAATTGCACAATACAATCAAGTTAACAAAATCTAGAGATATTACTTACATTTTAGGAGATTTTAATGCAAAAATTGGAGTAGGTACAGTTGAAAATATAGTTGGACAGTTCGGACTAGGAACTAGAAACGAGAGAGGAGAAAGGCTCATAGAATTCTGCCAAGAAAAGAATATGGTAATTGCCAATACTTGGTTTCAGCTTCCTAAAAGAAGACTATATACATGGACGTCTCCTTCACATACAGAAAACCACAGTGTCAGAAACCAGATAGACTTTATACTCGTAAATAGCAGATAGAAAAACTCTATAACCTCAGTTAAAACTTATCCTGGAGCAGATGTTAACTCAGACCACAATCCGCTAGTGGCTGACGTGAAAATAAAATTAAAAAGAATTGAACTCAGAAAACAACAACCAAAAATTAACGTAAGAATGCTACAAAACGAAGAAATAAAAAACGAAATAAAAAATAATGTGAATGTTAATATGCAAAAAACACTAACTGACAACAAACAAATTATGGATGTAAATAAAAAGTGGTGTAATATAAAAAACACATTACTGAAACCAGCTCAAGAAAGTTTAATAGAACATAAATCAGAGGCTAAAAAACACTGGATGACAGAAGAAATACTATTACTGATGGAAGAAAGAAGGAAATATAAAGGAAAAGATCTACAGAAGTATAAAGAAATACAACGAATAATTAAGGAAAAAATCAAAACAGCTAAGGAAATCTATTTGATGAAGCAATGTAAAGAGATAGAAGAACTAGAAACAAAATATGATATGAGAAATATGCACAAAAAAATTAGAGAAGTGACTGGAATGGGTCGAAATAGACAGCAAGGACACATAAAAGACAAAAAAGGAGTACTACTAGTAGATTTACCAGAGAAGTTAAGGCGATGGGAGGAGTACGTTAGAGAACTTTTCCAAGATGAAAGAGGTGAAATGCAGAAAATACAAGAATTAAATCCTTTAGAGATACAGAAGATCACGATAGATGAAATCAAATATGCTATCAAAAACTCTAAAGACAATAAGGCAGCTGGATTAGATGAAATACCAGTAGAACTCTTAAAACTAGTGGAAGAGGACAACTTGGAAGTATTGGCAGATTTATTCAACACGGTGTACGATACGGGAATAATACCACAGGAGTGGCTAAAGTCAGCATTTATAACCATCCCTAAAAAACAAGCAGCAAAAGAGTGCTCTGATTATCGAACACTGAGCCTCATGAGTCATACTTTAAAAGTTCTGCTAAAAATAATACATAAGAGAATATACGAAAGGCTAGAGGAGGATATTAGCGAGACGCAGTTCGGGTTCCGAAATGGAATGGGTACTCGAGAAGGACTATTTGCCATCAACATATTAATTCAGCGATGTCGGGATGTGAATGTTGATCTACACTTGTGCTTCGTTGACTACGAAAAAGCTTTCGATAAAGTAAGACATGAAAAACTAATATCAATACTTATGAACAAGCGCATTGACAGTAAAATCATAAATATAGTGCAAACATTATATTGGAACCAAAGTGCCATAGTTCAAATTGATGGGCAACACTCAGAAGAAATGAGGATCTGTAGAGGAGTTAGACAGGGATGTGTGTTATCACCACTTTTGTTTAACTTATATTCTGAAGAAATTTTCCAAAACACGCTCAATAATATCGAAGCGGGAGTCACCGTTAACGGAAAATTAATTAATAATTTAAGATATGCAGACGACACTGTGATCATAGCAACGAGTATAGAGGATCTACAACATCTTATCGAAAGCTTGAGTATAAATAGTGCTGAGATGGGAATTACTATAAACGCCAAAACAAACGAAGTACATGCTGATTACAAAAAGGCCACAAAATATACATCACCTATTGACAATAAATGGTAACGTGATAGAACAAGTAGAAAAATATCAGTATTTGGGAACTTTGATCAATGAAACCAATGATCATACTGTAGAAATAAACAGACGAATAGAGATTGCCAGATCAGCATTTATACGAATGAAGCCACTCCTAACGTGCAAAAATCTAAATTTGGAGATCAGACTACGTACCATTCGCTGTTATATATTTTCAATATTATTATATGGAGCTGAGACTTGGACATTAAAAAAATGTAATTTAAAAAGAATCGAGGCCTTCGAACTCTGGTTATACCGCAGAGTATTGAAAATATCATGGACTGATAGAATTACAAATAAAGAAGTACTGGAGAGGGTTGGTAAAGAAACAGAACTAATCACCACTATACAAACCAGAAAACTGGAATACCTAGGCCACGTGATGAGGGGACCAAAATATGAAATTTTGAGACTGATAATACAGGGAAAGATTCAAGGAAGAAGATCTGTTGGCCGAAGGCAGAACTCATGGTTAAAGAATCTACGTGATTGGTACCAATGCAGATCGATTGATTTGTTTAGAGCAGCAAGTTCTAAAATAAAAATAGCCATTATGATTGTCAACCTCCGTAGGGAGACGGCACTCTAAGAAGAAGAAGACTTTTGGGCCACTCTGTATATGGACCGCATCATGGTATAATTCCAAATAGTACATAACTGAAAAGACATATATTAAAACCCGTCAGAAATTAAGGTCTAGAAAATATACTGACATGTTTTTGACATGCATATTTTCATCGGATATTTGAAAAAAAAACTGTTAAATACATATTAAAAACCGTAATTAAACATTAAAATAAATATTCAGACACTAAAATCTACACCCAAAATAAACTGCTCTGTGACAAAAAGTTTAATGATCATAGCTTACAGCATAAGGCATCA